ATAGGGTAAATGAAAGTAGATTCTCTATATTCAAGCTTTTTTTTTTCTTTGCTCCAAACATTCCCTCTCTTCTCGCTCTCCCAAAAGTTTCAAATGCACTCCTAAAAGAATTTTCTCCTTAACCTACTTAACTTTGTCTTCTGCCCATATCTATGTTTCAGTGTCCTGCCAGGTCCAGGTTTTCTACATCTAGGACAGCACCAAAGCAACTACCTACAGGTGCTCCAGTCTAACCTCCAAGACTGCGTCCAGCCAGACCTTCACCCCCCACCCCCACCCCAGCCATAAGTGTTCTCACAAATGCTGGACATCCTGTTCTTCCCTGATTCAACCAACATTTCAGCCTTTTGGGCTCCATATCACCACCACAATGTCAGCAGGAAGTAACCAAAGATGACTGATTTCTTCACCTTTTATCCATCTATTGTCAACAAAAGGCCGGAACAGTGTGCTTCAGAACCACTAGAACAAACAGCTCCAGGTTCTCCCAGCATTTCTCAGTCCTTATCTGCTCCAGGGCATGGCTGGCTGGCTGGCATACCCTGCCCTCTATCCTGAACTTTCCAGGGTAGGAGCTTCCCTGTCCCCTCACTATATAATATAGACATTTTTAGTGCTCCTTATTTTTCTTTATCTCTCTTACCCTTGCATGGCAACCCAGAGCTGCTTCCAATGAACCTACATTTATATACTGTAACATATACATGAGAAGCAGCCCAAGCTCCTCATTCCCACCTCACTGCCCCTCCCTAAGCTCCTATTTGTTTAAAGTTATAGAAAAAGGGAAAAATGTTACTTCATAAACCTGCCTCTAGGTTGCCTAGCAACCTGATGTCCTCATGTGCCCCCATCAGGTGTGTGGCAGATACACTTCAGCTATGCATCAGATAAAAAGGACCAAACCTTCACTGCATGATCTCTCTGCCTCGGTTTCTCTCCCCAAATGCCTCACCCACCTCCTTCTCTCTTCTACACCCTCCCACTGTCTCTCTCTCTGTTTCTCTTTTTCTCTTTCTCTCTCCAACTCTATACAATAAATCTGCTGTTTTTGGCATATATACATATATATATGTATATATATATAATATATATATATACACACACACATATATATATATATATTACATTTACTGCTTTTTTTTACAATGTGTATTTCAGTACAGATTACAAACAGTGGTAATGCTAACATAGCTAAGAATTATTATTCTCTTGTAAGCTTAAAAATTATTGTAAACTTCAGGAAGTCACAAGACTTGGATCCACCTGTCACAGGTCAAATGGACTCCAGATAAGTACTCCTTATCAACAGTTTCCTCACCTGCTTATTTCTGAGTGTGATCAATATCTCTCTTTCTCTCTCTTTCCACCTCATCTCTCTCTTTTCCTCTTCCCCTTCTTCCCTCCCCATTCTCTGTTTTAGGAATCCCCCCCCCCACTATCACCATGACTAGTTTCAAATGTACACCTAAGAGAAAAATTTCTCCCGTACTCCTTAACTTTATCTTCTGTCTCTAATCTATATCTTTCTCAGCAGGTTTCTAATAAATTTCAGACTGCTCCAAAACTTCCTGCAATGCCCCAACCCAAGGTGGTCCAGAATCACAGAGCACTTTAAAGTATCCTGCACTTCACTAGCCCAAGTAGTCTCCCAGAACCTTGGAAGTGGGCAAAACAGATGTCCTCTAGCCTGTACTCCTCCTCTGACCATCATCTCAGCCATCCTGGGCCTACAACAATACCTTAATTTCAGCTAAGAAGCAGTTACAAAAGAGATTATATCACCTCTTATCATCAACAAAAGGTTGAATGTCAGGTCCCAAAGACAAATAGCTAACTGAGGCTCCTATTAACCCATCAAAGCAGGGGCTGGCTGTTGAGGGGAGGGCTCCCAGTATCACAAGTACCTGTTATAGAATCCTGGCTCCTCTCAGCCCTTTTCACCTTGCCCACTACCCTAACCCTTTCCAGCCCAGAGGCTGGGCTTTGCTTGTTTTTCTTATATATTCAGCCATTTTGGTCATGTGTGCTCTCTTGGTTCTCTTGGTTTTAATGGGCTCTCTTGTTCCTCACCTCTCCTCTATCTTCTCTTTCTCTCTCACTCTTTTCCCCACTGTCTCCTCTCATGACCTAGTCTATTTTGCCAGTTATATTCAATCTAGACTTTCCCAGATGCCCCTGGCTGTTCTCTTGAGAGACCAAAGAATTAAAAATTAGTTTTTTGGGGTATTGGTTTAAAGTTTAAAGCACAAGCCTGAACAAAGGCCGGACAGGTGGAGACATGTCCAGCCACCTTCGGAAAGAAGCAGCCTTACTGCATTCTTTTCCTGCCCACTAAAGATACGGTTGCTAGGAAACTGGCCCCTCTCCCCTAGGATGACCAAACAAGGGAAGACAGACCGTTAATGGTTTGGGGGCCTTCCAAAAGCCAATCAATTTAAAATGCAACATCCCCTCTTGTGTTTCAACCAATAGACACTTTCCAGGCAGGAATTCCCCTGCTTTGGGCACACTGGCAGGGACCGGAATCTTTAAATCAACCACCTAACCTGAGCTGGTGACTCTTTGCTCTCAACTGCTTTGGTGGTGAGGGTATGAGCCCAAGCTAGCTTGTCATAAAAAAAGATCCTCATGTGTTCTGCAATGGACTTGACTCCTAGTGGTCTTTTGGGGTCTCACAAATCAGGCACAACACTCTCACTCAAATCTACAATAAAAACCTTCTTAATCATACATAGAATGGCCATGTACTCATTTTTATTCACTTAGCAATAAGAAATCCACCTCACCACAGACCTAGGTCCTTAATGCCCCTCCACGCTTGTGTCTTCTTTCATTCTGTCAGCTATGGCCACCATCTATTCTCCCTTGACAATGCTATGGCTTCCTGTCTTGTCATCCTGACCCATAGCTCCTGCCTCACCTATGACCTTTACTGTCCAGAACAGACAGGATTTCTGTGCTGGCCTACTTGCCCTCTTTTCCCAGCTGTGTGACTCTGGATGCATTGCTGATCAAATGATCAACATCGATGGTCATATAGTTGTTGTAAGGTGGTTGGTTTGTTTGAAATAGCTTTTCCAAGTCCTGACATTATTAGTATTTACATATGACCCTGAATATTCTTTTATATCTATTAAATCATTTTCAGGTTGCCTGTAACATGGGACATGCGCAGATATTTAGTAAACAGTTGTTATATGCACCAATCATGCCCACCATTCCCAAATTTTAGGAGAAATAAAACAAGTAAAACACCAAGTTCAAGTTCTTAAAAACAAAAAGAAAGAAAGAAAAAAGCTGTATCTATTAATAATCCTTCCTTAGCACTACCAGATCCCCACACATGCTGTCAGTGACATGAAGTCAGGGAGATGCATGGCTGAGTCAATAGGTATGATGGGTAGTCTTGGAATCAACTGAAAGAGCCAGAAAAACTGTGAGGGATTTTCTTTTTTTCTTTCTTTTTGCTTTTCATTTCTCTCTCTCTCTCTCTCTCTTAAATTTGGACAGGGTTTCTCTGTGTAGCTTGGCTGTCCTGGACTTGCTTTGTAAGCCAGGCTGGCCTAGAACTCACAGAGCTCTGCCTGTCTCTGCCTCCCTGAGTGCTGGGATTACAGGTGTGGGCCACTGTGCAAAGCTGTGTGGAATTTTTTAAATCAGGTTATTTGAAGTGGGAAGACTGACCTTAAATGTGATTGTCAAGGGCTGTCTGACAGTCAGCCAACTGAGAGAGAGCTCAGAGGTTAAGAGCACTGGCTGCTCTTGCAGAGGTCCTGAGTTCAATTCCCAGCAATCGGTGGCTTATAACCATCTATAGTGAGATCAGCTGCCCTCTGCTGGAATGCAGGCAGAACACTGTATACGTAATAAATCTTTTTAGAAATTTGATTGTCATCTTTTAGTTGTAACACAGATAGATGTTAAAAAAAAAAAAAAGCTTTGGTTTTTGCCTGTTATTTATCTACCATTCGTGAATTCATCTACCTAGTTGCTGCTGTGGCTGTTACTTTTTTTGTTCAAATATCACGACCAGATTCTTTGGCCTTCCAATATCAACTCTCAACCAGTGCTCTACAGGAATCTACCAGGCCCTCAGGGCCAGGTTGTGATTACTGAGTACTGAGCCATCTAGCCTCTTAGACTGAGAATCTGCTGGGTTCTTAGCCCCTCCATTGTGTAGAGGCCACTGTTGGGCTCCCCACAGCATTTCATGTAAGTCAAACTAATAAATCACCTTTAAATGTATATTCATTTTATGGGTTCTGCTCCTTCAGAAAACCCTGACTAATACAGCAGGCACTCAACTGGTAAGTGCTTTGATAAGCAGAAGGCCCACGGGACACTTAACTCAGGGTGTTTGGGGAGGGAAGTCATTTAAGGGGAAAGGAATTAGATAATCAGTACCATTTATAACTGATAAATGTAGGTTTTTACAATATTACAACCTGTGATTGCTCTACTACCCATGTTTCCACACATGATAAAAATGGCAATAATGGACTCTGAGCCAAAGTGAGGCTTGACCTGAAATGTACATTTACCTCAAAGATAATTAGAGCTGGGCAGCTTTATCATCTTTTTGTGGTGCTAGGGTTCAGACTGAACCATCACTGCGCTGTTTCAGTCCCTCATGAGATTGGTGTTAGGTATATTAAAAGAAAAAATATGAGTCTTGGAAAAATAAAGTGGCTTGCCTGAGGTCAAAGGTAGCCTTGCCTACCACAAACTTGTGCTCATCTTGTTTGTTTGAGACAGTTTTAGTCAGTAGCCCAGGCTGGTTTCGAATGTGTGCGTCATCTCCCTGCCTCTGTCTCCCAAGTGCTTAGATTATGAGTGTGAGCCACCACCTCCTGCATGAACTTATGTTTAAATTCCAGAATCTTCACTGCAAGACTGATTCCTCATTGGGAAAAGAGACAAATTCTATCTTCCCAATCCCAGAGGCACAGAGAGCAGTGAGGAGCCCTGGGCAATGGCTAACAGATGCAATCCCACCTTACCTGGGATGGCGACCAAGTTCTGCAGCTCCTGCTTCAGGTCCATGATGTCCTTGCAGAGCTGAATGTCATCCATCCTGTGAGGACAGGACACCACATAATATGTTACCTTAGCAGACGCCCCAGTATTAGCCTGGTTTAAACACAGGAGGCTGGTAAGAGTGTGGGTTCTTAGCTCCTCCATTGTGTAGAGGCCACTGTTGGGCTCCCCAGAGCCTATCATGTGAGTCAACCTAATAAATCCCCTTTAATACATGTTCATTTTATGAGTTCTGCTCCTCCAGAGAACCCTGACTAACACAACAGGCACTCAACTGTGGTGCTTTGATAAGCAGAAGGCCCATAGGACACTTAACTCAAGAATGTTAAGTATAGCTGTTCTAACAGCTATACTGACTGCTTAAGCATGCCCCTGCCTGGGTTGAGCGAGGCCTGGGTGACCAGCTCTTTCTGGATAAGTCTGGGTATTCATCACTTTTGTCCTTGTTGTAAGAAAACACCTGACAAAGAAGTAACTTAGGGTGGAAAAGGAGTTGTTTAGGCTCACAGTTCTTGGGAAATTGAAGGAAGGCAGGTAGCTCTGTAGCCGTCAGAGCCTGGTGTTTGCTTTTACACAGTCCAGACCAGCACTTGGGCAGGAACCTAGTATGTAGAACCTCTACTCCTGCCACACAGCTAGCTAGGTTCCACATCCCCAAATCACAGATAACTTTCCTCCAGCAGGAGGTCTATGTGTCAAGTTTACATTTAAACCACAACAGTCTGTGATGATGTTTCCAGAGACTGGCTTGCCAGCCACTGAACAGTCCAGCCCTCTGTAGGCAGCATCCAGTAGCTGGAAGTGAGGACAGGGGAAGAGGTTGAAAAGGAAGAGTAGGGGCTTGTGCACTCTGATGCTGTTTGTCTCTGTCTTTCTCTCATTCTTTCTCTTTCTGTATCTTTGTCTCCTTCCCACTGCCCTTAGGCATAACTCCAAAATTTTCACCTCTTAGATTCTGGGTTTTGTACCATTGATACCTCAGGGCTTACACTTGTGGAATCATCCATTTCCAGGTTCTGAAGCTTCCAGATATAAACAGAACCATAATGCCAATACTTCTAGTTTAGTATTGATTCTTTCAGATTTAAAAATATGAAGGTCATAAATATCACATTACATTGTTACTATATAAAGTATTTTTGCAATTTGCTCTTTTAACTTAATATGTATTCTTTTACTTCATAATGATATATAATTCTATTTCATAATACTTCTTGGGCATGATTCCCTGTCAGTCCATGTAAGTCAACTGATTTTTTGTGGATGTTATGTTGATATACAGCAATTGATCCACTGCTCACATCTAGGTTTTTCTGTGATAAATGCTCTCCTAGCATGCACAAAGCCCTGGGTTTGATGCCCAGAACAGCATAAACTGGGTGTGTTTGTGCAGATATTCATAATCTCAGAACAAGAGGATCCTCTTGGAGACAAGAGGATCAGAATTAAAGGTCATCCTTGGCTATACAGAAATTTTGAGGTTAGTCTGAGTTAGATGAGACTACTCTGTCTCAAAAACAAACAAACAAACAAAAAAAAAAACCTAAAGTTAATTTGTCATTCTCAGAAAAATTATTTACGGTAGCTGCCAGGAACTTCCCCTACAGATTTTTAGGGTTGTGTTCATATGTCCCTATCTTGATCATCTAGATGGATTTTTAGGCTATCTGTGCTACCTGGGTCTCTGTGGAGTAGTATGAAATATTTTATGTGCCTGGGCTAACAAGAATATCTTTCGTGTGATACTATTTGCGGAGATTCTCAGAGGCAGAATTCACTGAGTACAAATGGCTTAAGAGGTCATAGCTGAGGCATCATTAACTCAGCTCCCAAAGTGTATACATGTGTACATTTACGTTCTTTTTTGAGCATCTACTAGGCTGGCCTCAGGCCTAAGTTCTAAGGAAACACTACCAACAAAACCCAGGCAATATGAAGCTGAACTTTTGTTAGTATGGATGCAAGATAGTCACATGGTCATAGTAATAAAGCAGCCCCAGGATCCCCTCCTTTCCACAGACACCAAAATCCACAAATGCCCAAGTCTTGAAAATAAGATGGCTTAATGTTTGCATATAATCTCTGTAACACTCCCAAGTGCTTAAGTCACCTCAGATAACTTATGACACCCAATACAGCCAACACAGCTTAGATGCCCTGTACTCAGGAATTGCCCTCTCACTTAGGATATAATGACCAAAAGTTAAAGAGGGGAGGCGGGGATGGCACTGGTTAAGAGCATGTGCTGCTCTTCCAAAGGACTAAAGTTTGGGTTCCGAAACCCACATTAGGTGGCTCACAACCACCTGTAACTTCACATCCAATGGATATGACATCCTCTTCTGGACTCCATGGGTACCTGCAGTCACATGAATTCATGCACACATACATACAACTTTATTTTGATTTTTCTTTTTGAGACAGAGTCTCACCATGTAACTCTGGCTGTTCTGGGACTCACTATGTATATCAAACTCACAGAGATCTCCTGCCTCTGTCTCTCAAATATTGGTATTAAGTTTTTTTGTTTTATTTTGTTTTTTTTAAGAAGTAAAAAAAAAATCTGATAAACTTTTTCTCAAATATTTACAACCCATGGTTGGTCAAGCCTATAGGAAGGCTGACTGTGTTTCTGGTGCTCCGAGAACAGTACAGCAGATGAAGGGGGGGGGGGGTTGGTCTTTTTGGAAATAGCACTCAGTGTTGGCCCTGGACAACCATCCTGGGAAGAGGTAGGGGAAAGCTACCAATGTAAAGGTAGGTCAAGGTGTTATAAAATATAATGTGGCAAGGGGGTATCTTTGGTGGGCTCATGCCAAGGTGCACCTCTGAGAAATTACATCACGCAACAGATCTGGTGCAAAAAAAAGGTTTATTGGGGGAAGGAAGGGGAGTGAGGACCTGGGGAAGGGATAGAGGCAGACAATATAGACAGGCAGACAGACAGGGAGCAGAGAGAGACATAAAGGGAGAGAGGGGGAGTGCAGAGATAAGGGGGAGTACACACAGTAGAGAGAGGAAATGCAGAGAGAGATCTGGGGTGACTAGTGGTCCTTTTATTCTCAGAACACTCTTAGTGCCACTGCCAGGTAATGACATAAGCAGTTGCAGGTCCCTGAGAGCAGGCCAGTAGAATTGCCTTACACAAACATAAGGGACTCAGCTAGATTCCATGCTGGTCAGGGCTGGACCAGTCTAGAGCTTGACTTTCTTGATGTCTTCATTGATCCCTCCCCGATGAGGTCAGTGAACCCACTTGAGAGCTGCCCCCCAAGAAACCTGGTAATTTGGCTTGAAATGTCTCATTTCATTGGTGGGAGAATATCTATCATCACTCATGACTGATCACAAATGCCCATGTTTTTCACTCCACTCCTAGCCTTCCAGATCCTAGGACCAGGACAGGGATGCAGAACTTTAGTTTACATCTCTGTTGCCAGAGCATGACAGCATTTTTTCAAGACTTGGCCTACAATATCCTAGCAGGCTTCCTTGAATGATTCAGGGCTGGCCAGAAGAGCACAGACTGCCTGCTGGTTTGTAACAGGGCCCCAGACCTCAGTAGGCTCCTAGACTTTAGCGCAACTGAACTCTTTTATGGAAGTACCATTCAGGCCATAATCATGTGGTACTGTCATCATATAGACAGTACCACATGCCAAAATGAAAACAATGACCTAGTCCATCAAAGTCCATAGTTCTGGGAAAGTCTCTAAATGTCCTAACCTTGCTTTTTGGCAGTGTCACCCTGGGCAGGTGGTCATGGATGAGATAAGAAATCAAGCTAAGTAAGTTGTGAGGAGCAAGCTTAGAAGCAGGATCCATATGGGACTTCTGCTTCAGTCCTGTCCTGACTTCCAAAGATGATGGACTACAATCTGTAAGGTAAAACAAACCCTTTCCTCCAAGTTGCTTTTGGTCTTAGTGTTTATCACAGCAATATAAATGCTAACTAACACATATGACAAAGGCAAAACAAATGCCTACATTCATATATCAGACCTATTTGACTTAAGGAAATGGAGTAATCTGGGAAGGAAAGACACATGTAATTTAAAATCTGAGATGGTTAATAATGTTGAGGCCTGGTCCTTTTGTGGCCCTGATTGCAATCACCTTGGAAAAGGTGTTCAATAAACCATCCATATCTAACTGAGAGATGAGCCTGAGTGGTTTATGGGTCTATTCTTTTCTTTTTAAATAAACTTTTTTTCTTCACAATTTATTCATTATATACCCAGTTGACTCTTTTTTTTTTGACATTTTTTATTTATTATTTATACAATGTTCTGCCTGCATGTATGCCAGAAGAGGGCACCAGATCTCATTATAGATGGTTGTGAGCCACCATGTGGTTGCTGGGAATTGAACTCAGGACCTTTGGAAGAACAGCCAGTGCTCTTAACCTCTGAGCCATCTCTCCAGCCCTGTGGGTCTATTCTTGTACTACAATAATACTATCAACTTGGGTGGATCTAGAATCATGTAGAAGACAAAGTTCTAAGTATATCTTGAGCCAAACCCGACAACCTGGGTATTAAACTATAGTGATCGGGGCCCTCCCACATCAAATGACTCTAGCTTATGTCAAGTTAACATAAAAACTAGCCAGCACACCAGTTTTGTAAGCTTAAATGTTATCCCTGGAATACTGATGTGTTGAGAAGTCTCCAGCCATTTCCTAGCATTATGCTAGGAACCAAGAAACAAAGAGAAAAGAGAAGCCCCTGGGACATCCTTGAAGGCCAGGCTGGCAGTTTTCTCCCTGGGGCTTTTATAATGATCTATTCCTTAATCTCCATTGATGTCCCCTGGGTTGTAATCAGATCTTCTTTCCTGAATAAGACACTCATTCCCAATCATAACCCTTGAGAAAAGCTTACTTTCTAAAGAATATTCTAAACTGAGTTTTGATTCTTTTGTGTGTATGTGATGTATGTGACTTTTACATTTTTAAATTTAATTTACCTTTTATTTTACATGTATATATGTTTTGCTTTCTTATATGTCTATCTACCACATGTGTGCCTGGTACCCATGGAGGCCAGAAGAAGACATTTGATTCCTTGAAATTGGAGGTACAGATATTTGTGAGTGCCGTGTGTTTATCACCAGGTCTGATGGAAAAAGAGCCAGTGCTCTTAACTGCTAAGGCATCTCTCCGATATCTGTACATGCACTTCTGTGCATGGATGCATCTGTGCATGTGCAGTGGCAGAGGAAGATGTAAAGTGTACTGTTTTCTTACTTTCTGCACACCTGGCCCCACAGAAATCAAATAAGTAATGAAGATTATACTCCAAAGAGGGAAATGGCAAGAGAAGCAGAGAAGAATGAAGGGAAGGGAAAGTAATTTAAAAACATAAAGATGAGAGAGAAGAAAAAAAAACAGAAAAGGAGGAAGAAACAAAGATGGAGGGAAAAGAAAGGCTTCACAGAAAAGGAAACATAAATGCCCCAAAGGGGACATTGGTTCATATGTAGTTTTCTAACTATATATAACAATATTTTTTGAGGGGGGTGGGTCTCAGAACTGGGCTGGCTTTGAACTTGCTATGTAGACCAGGCTAGCCTTGAACTCATAGAGATCTGTTGCAGGATATTTGATCACACTGTGAACCCCTGGAAAAATTTGTTTCTAGTGTGGTGTGGCTCAGCCCTAGCACACACCTTTAATCCAAGAATTTTGAATAAAGTCAACAGTAGATCAAGAGGAGAAGCAAGCAACCAGTTGACAGGGAGTGAACATGGGGGGAAAAAACATAGTGAGTCAGAGGAAGTCCATAGTATGGATAGAGAGACGCACAGGAAGCAGAAAAACAGAAAATCAGTTTGAAGGGTTTTTAAGGCAACGTGAAGAAGGTGAAGGGGCTTGTTTCTTCTGGGATGTTGGTTGAGTAGGATGGTCAGCTGGGTGCTTTCTCTGCCTCTCTGAGCTAGTAGGCTTTCACCCAGTATCTGGCTCCTGAGTCTTTATTGGTAAAATGGAATGTTTAAGATTTTGTTACAAACAATAGGGATCCACCTGTCTCTGCCTCCAGAGTGCTGAGATTAAGGATGAGCATGTCTACACTTGGCCAACACAATTTTTTAGTCTAAGTCTGTCTCAAGTAACATTGGGAACACTCTGTACTAAGAATTTTCTTACTGATAATCTGGTATTCAGACTAATTCATAATTAACTAAGTGCCCTCTGTGTGGTCTAATAACAGTAAAAAGATCTTTTTAAAAATGATTTATGTGCTCATTTTGGTAGCACATATAAACAAAAGTGATTTATTTCTTTTTATTTTATGCAAATTGATGTTTGCCTGCATGTATGTCTGTGTGATGTTGTCATATCCCCTGTGGTGGTTTGAATAAGTATGGCCCTATAGACTCATGAGTTTGAATGCTTGGGCCATAGATAATGGTCTGCCTGCATGTTGCTATGTTACCCACCATTATGGTAACAGACTAAACCTTTGAAACTGTAAGCCAGCCCCCGTTAAATGTTTCACTTTATAAAAGTTGCCTTGGTCACAGTGTCTCTTCATAGCAGTAAAATCCTAACTAAGACAAAAGGATATCGGGGACTGGGGTATTGCTGTGACAGATCTGACCATGCTTTTGTTTGGAGAAATTTAGACTTTGGTACTTTGTGCTAGAAAAGCAGTAGAATGCTTTAAGAGCTGCTAAATGAGCCATACTAGTAAGAGCATGGGAGACAGCGCTGCTGAGGGTGATTTGAACTAGGGGGCCTGGCTCAAGAGGCTTCAGAGAAGAATTTTTGTATGTTGCCTAGAGATCCTTCTTGTGATATTTTTGTGAAAAATGTGGCTACGTTTTTTGCCCTCGTCCAAAAAAATTCTGCCTGATGCTAAATTGAAGAGTTTTTGGATTAATTGCATTTGCAAAAGAGATTTCAAAACAGCCTAGTGTGGACTGTGTCCTGTGGTTATTAATGGCCATGGTTATAAAGGTCTATAATGAAAAGGGGCACCAGGAAGAACGGAGCTAAATCCTGTGTTCAAAGAGCTAAAAGAAAAGCCAGATGTTAAATGAAAAAAAAAAAAAAAAAAAAAAAAAAAGGAGGGACAAGATCCCACCTAGCTAAGCTTCCAATTTGTTAAAAGGAATTAAAGAACAGTTTAGGTCCAGTCAAGGTGATAAATGCCTTTAATCCCAGTCAATGGCAGGAAAATTTCTGAGTTCAAAGCCAACCTGGTCTACAAAACAAGTTACAGGATAGCCAAGCTTAGGCAGTGAAAGAAACATTAACCTTGAACTTCTGATTTTTGAGTGCTAGGATTACTGGCCTGTGGAGTGGGACATGAACCCAGGGCTTCTTTTACAACTAGGCAAGTGCTCTACCACCTCTGCTACATCCCCAGGGACACAGATTTGTTAGAGCTACACCCAGAGCCAACCTATCATCAGAGACTCTCGGGACAGCCCCTTAATCTCAGCTTCTTCCAGGAGAGGAAGCCATCATGGTGCCCCGCCCTCCCCAGAGCATAGCACCAGGGATTAAAGGAGAGAGCTGCCCAATTTCATATGTGCCATGCCGGACCAGCACGGCCAGGGAGACATAAATGTCCTCATTGTATACATGGAGAAACTGAGGCTTCAACAAGACAAGTATTTGTTCTAGGCCACAAAGTTGGTAATAGGAACAAGACTGAAAACCATTAAGAAGCTTAATGATAGAGATCATTGATTTGTCCCTACCCTCACTCTGCAGAGAGCCCAAGTTATACCACTGTCATCTATTTGTCAGAACCAATGCAAACCTGGGCAAAGGACTTGACTTCTCTGTGTCCCAGTTTCTCATCTATATGAATCTATGTAATCATTTGCCTTCAGAGCTATGATGAGGATCAATACATCAATACACAGATAATCTTCCTCATGCACAGCTGTTGTCTACAACGTATGTTATCTGCTGCCCCTCTTGGGGCCTCTGCCAGGTTCCTAGGACTTGTGCTTTTTCTCAAACCTTATGCTTTTTAATGAAATGGTTCTAAGGTTCAAGCACAGCTTTGGGAATATTAGCATTCTAAGACCTCACTCCTGAGATACATCCTTTACACAATCATCTTCCTTGCCTGATGCAGTTCTGACTCAACTGATTAAAAGCTGCAAATGCCTGGAGCAAGCTGAGAGGTAGGCTGCACATCCCTTTTATGAAAGTCCAACCAGCAGGTGGAGCATGGCGATAACCAGCTCGCCCCACTGGGAGGCTGATGATACTTAATTTTCTGGAACCCAGATAAACAACAAGAAAAGGGAGAAATATGAGACACAGAGAAGCTGAGCCAGGCAGCCAAGGGCTGCAGCAGTTATTTTACAAGCTGATGATGTGATCCCGGGCTGGGATAAAGGAAAAGAGAATGAGCCTAAGGTTGTAGCAGCAGGGCAGGGTGGAAAACACAACTGTGTCCAGGAGGGAGACAGAACCAGGCATTAGCTTCCAGGCATTTACTGGCTGCTTCAGCGGGGGAAGGTTATGTGGGACCCAGGGGCTCCCTGATTTCTTCTAGAAAAGTTCATAAAGATCAATAAACCTCAGCAAAGAGATCTCAAAATGCTGTTTTGTAGGTTCAAAGCCAGAGGGCAAGCTAAAGGGAAGACACAGAGAAAAGACACTAGGTACTCAGATTAGGAAACACACACCCCTGGGGGCTCCTTTATGACCAAGCTGTGTACCTGACCATGGTCTTTGAACCTGACTGTGGCATATAACTTGACTGCATGGGTCTGGGTGTCTTGATATATCCCTCTGTTAGGAAGCACTTAGTGTGTGCCAGGGCCCAGGAGAACACTCAAAAAATATCAATATTGTCAGTGTCATAGCTACTATTTCTATCAGGATAAAGTAGTTGACAAAGAGCAGTGGAAGAGTGGAAGGACTTTTTTGGGCTCACTGTTTGTGGATGCAGTCCATCATAGAGGAGAAGACAGGGCAGCAGGAACATGAGCCAGCTGCTCACATCACATCAGCCATCAGGAAGCAGAGAGGTGAGTGTTGCTGTCCAGGTGGGGTGGTGCTACTCACACTGAGCATGGTCCTCCCTCCTCAGACAAACCCCTGTGGGAACTCCCTCACACGCCCCCAGAGCTTCAGTTAAAATGAACCATTACAGAGGTCCTCAGGAATCGTTGCAGAAACAGGGCTCCACAAAAAGCTCCTAGGGGGCAGGATTTACTAACTTGGGGCTTAGGAGCTTGCAAGTCCCAAACCATCATCTGTATCCTGGATCTATAATGACTCCCACAGGCCCATGTGTTAAAGGATTGGTCTCAAGCATGGTGCTGTTAGAAGGTGGTAGATCCTTTAAGAAGTGGAGCCAAGTGCTCACTTTGGCAGCACATATACTAAAAGTGGAACAACACAGAGAAGATTAGCATGGTCCCTGCGCAAGGATGACACTCAAGGATGCCTAGGACATAGTTTCTATCCAATGAAAGGACAGTGCTCGCTTTGGCAACACATATACTAAAATTAGAAAGGACACCCAACATGACTTGTGTCTGCTCCCTACCCTCAACTCAGGATGAGCATTCAGAGGTTGAGGAAAAGGGTTTTATTGTAGACATGAGGAAGAGTTCAGCAGAGGCATCTGGAAGAGTCCAGACTGAACATGGCCATCAAAACAGATGGGACCATGAGAAGGGGGAGAAGAGTCCAAGAACAAGAGAGGAAGAGAGAGGCGAAGGGGCCAAGAGGACCAAGAGAGCCCATGGGAACCAAGAGAACCAAGAGATCACATGGCTCAAATGACTGAGTTATATGGAAAAGAAGAAGCTAGAAGAAGGAAAGCAAAACTCAGTCCCTAGGCTGGAGAGGTTTAGGGTAGGGGGTTGGGGTTAGGGTCCAGGGCTCTGCAACAGTACTTGTGATGCTGGGAGAACCTGGTGGCCAGTGTCTACTTTGATGTGTTAATAGGCACCTCATAGGCACCTCAGTTAGCCATTTGTCCTGAGTTCCTTTGGGACCTGACACTGCTAGGTGGAGTAATGTTGGCAAGCAGCAGTGGGCAGGTGAGCACTGTTGATAAGAAGGGTGTGATGGGTGAATAAAGAGCATGGGCCACAGCTTGGAGACTTGGGTCGGTGCTGGTTGTTAAGGTTACATAGAGTACGTCTGAGGAGGCTTCCCTGGGTGGCTGGAAGTACTATGGCTGGGAATGCAGGACAGCCTGGGTGTGCTTAGCTAAAGGAGATCTGGAAAATGTAGGTGAGCAACCCCAGGACAGCTGTTTGTCAGAAGCCTAGCACATCTGGAAGTCATCAGGTGGCTCTAGCTAAGGTCTGGAGGACTGAGAAGGCCTCTTGTGAGTATCAGAGGGCTGTGGATAGGAAAGAAGCTGTGCCCCAGACTCCTCATGAGAGTCCATGGGTGCTGGTGCTCCCCTGGAGAACAAGGCAGGGAGGGCTCTGTAGTGCAACTCATGGTCTAAGTACCGAGTGAGCCATGTCCCAGGTTTCTTCAAGACCTGACAAAGATGGTGAAGCAAGACAAAACTCAATGTGGCCATGTGGGGATCCAAGCAGGAACTCACCTCTGTTCTGGAAAAGCTGGGCAATTAAGGGACAGAAGTTCCTTGCATTGAGATTAGCTTCAGGTTAAGGCTCTGCCTCCAAGACAGACATCATGGGTTCAAATTGTGTTTCTTCTGTATTAACTACTGACCTAGCGAGTCATGTCTCTCTTGCCTCAGTTTCTAAATCCATGAAGAGGAAGAATAAAACTACATTTTGTTGGTTTCTGTGAGCAAATTATGCCACGTGTAGGGTACACTGTGTATGTTCCAGAGGCCCCAGGAAACAGAAGCTCTTAGCTGCCTTGGCCTGAAGTGTCAGGGAAAGGGTAAGCCTCCCTCTCATACTACTCAATGTTCTGGCAGGAGAAATATGAGGTACAGGCTGTGCATACCAGCAAACAGTTCAGCTAACAAACTAAGGAAGGTACAGAAGGACGATGGGAGCTGCCACTACACCTGGTCTGAAAAGCATCCGAACATGGCCACCTGAACTGTGAAATACAGGCTAATTCGTGGGCTCTACGGCAGCTGTGGGCTTAACATAAGCAGGCCATGACTGTCATTGGTTCCAGTTCCTTAGGTTCCAAGGTGTTGGAAGGAGTCCCCATTTCCTAACTCTTTGCTGTGCTTGGGCTATAAATACTCACCTTGTGCCTGTTGAAACACAGTTTTTAAAACCGTATTTTCTCTTGGAAGACTCTGTTTCATTCCCCAGGGATACCAAGATCTGGAGATCCAGATCATCTCCAACAGTCTTAGAGAAAGGTGCTGTTTTCTCTCCTTCTGCACTTGAGGGCACCAAAGTCCAGGGAGTCTGTGTCGCCTGACTAGATTCATCCAGCTTTGCCTGATCAAGGCCCCTCAGTGTGCAGACAGCGACCCTTCTTGCCACAGTAGCGCATGTTTACATACTCACCCTGAACGAATGACAGGGAAAGAGGCTAGCCTGAACACAACCCAGGGGTCTTGTTTAACATGCTGGGAGGCTGAGCACAGTGGTGCACAGCAGTACTTAGCACTTGAGAGGTTAGCTTGGGGTGCATAGTGAGACAATGTCACAAAACAAAACAAAGAAATAGATGACAATACCCACTTCTTTGTATTATAGTGAAAATCTAAGATTCCTTTTTTACATATAAAATTAATATTTGTGCAAAGCATGTATTTTATATCTGTTTTACATAATAAAAAAATTACCTCTAGCTGGGTGTGGTGCCACACACATGTAAGCCCAGCACTCTGGGAGGCAGAGGACAGTTGGGTCTCTGTGTGTTTGAGGCCAGCCTGGTCTACAAACCAAATCCAGGACAGCCAGGGCTACACAGAGAAACCCTGTCTGGAAAACAACAATAACAACAAAGTTACCTCTAATGTCATATCACATCTTAGAACAGGTAAGAGACCAGCTGTACATTTACAGACTATTCACCTTGAAAGTACCTTTTCCTGTAATGCCGTTGCTGGTTTCCCCAATAAACCAGATTTTTAGTTTCCCTGGCATACACACAAACCCACCCCACCCACCCCCACACACTAGCATGTATACACGATTGCATATACACAATTGCATATACACACTTGTGTGTACACATAACTACATAATTTCATCAGGATTGTGGCTGTCACAGCACCCCCTGCAGGACCCCACTTTGTTAGCATTCTAATATTCACTTGTGAGCTGGTGAGCCAAGCCCACCACAGCTTCAAGGAGAGGCTTCAAGCATTTCTCAATACAACAAAAACACACCACACGACAGGCCAGAGAGCAAAGCTTTTGAAAAATTACATGAATAACCAGTTTCTGGTATTTCCTACTTAAAATAGCAAAGCTGAAACATAAAGACAAATTTCTTAAGCCTCCCAGGGCCAGACAGTGGTGGTTTGCACCTTTAATCCCAGTACTTGGGAGGCAGAGGCAGGCAGTTTTCTGTGAGTTTGAGGCCAGCCTGGTCTACGAGCAAGTTCCAGGACAGCCAAGGGCTACACAAACCCTGTCTCAAAACAAAGCAAAAACAGGACTGGAGGCAACCACAGATGTCCTCTGAAAGGCTCCACCCACCAGGGGATTGAAGCAGATGCCAAGACTCACAGCCAGACTTGGGCAGAGAGCAGGGAGTTTTACAGAAGAGTGGAGGGATAGAAGGACCCAGAAGGGACAGGAGCTCCACAAGAAGACCAGCAAAGCCAACAATCTGGACCCAGGGAGCCCTGCAAAGACTGATGGATCAACCAAGGACTATGCATGGAGAGGCCCCCTGCTCAGATGTAGCTGATAGGCAGCTCAGTCTCCAAGTGTGTTCCCAAGTAAGGGGAGCAGGGGCTGTTGTGACATGAACTCTGTTGCCTGCTTCTGGATCACTTCCCCCTGGTGTGGTGGCCTTGCCAGGCCACAGACGAAGAGGATGCATGCAGTCCCGATGAGACTTGATAGGCTGGGGTCAGTTGCTAGGGGAGGAGGCCTTCCCATTTCTGAGGACTAGGGGAGGAAAGAGGGGAGAAATAGGGGGGAAAGGGAGGAAGGGTAGGACTGGGAAGAGTGGGATGTAAATCAATTTTAAAAAATAAATTTAATGAAAAAGGCTCCCAGGAAGCTTGGAATTTCCAGGAAGAGCAAAGACTATATAGCTCCTACTTATACCTTGACCCCAATGGTAACCCCAATCCCATCTCCCCTCACCAAAGAAACTAGGATGCATTTTTATTTAGTATTCTATTTTCTTTATTTAATTTTTTAAATTAAAAAGCTGGGTTTAAGCTGGGCATGGTGGAAACACTTTTGATCCCAGCACTCAGGAGGCGGGGGCTAGTGAATCTCTGTGAATTTGAGGCCCACCAGAAACCCTGTCCTGAAAAACCAAAACCAAAAAAGAAAAAGAAAGGAAGGAAGGAAGAAAAGAAGAAAGGAAGAAAGAAAAAAGAGAGAAAGAAAGCTGAGTTTAATTAAGGCTACTTCTGAGAACATGTGGTATCCACGAGGGCTTTTCTTGGTGCCCCTGAGGGCTCAATCTTAGTGCACAATAATCAGTCACTCCCACGTTCTCCGAGCTGCCTCTGCACTCTACACCTCTGCCCTTACTTCCCATGCACTCACATGAACCTGAGTTCAGACTCTCGACGGACCAGGACTTCACGGAGACGCTGGATTTTCGCCATCTCCAGCTCAATCTCCTCAGGCATCATGCTGGTCTCAGCCATGGAGATGATGTCCAGCTGGCCTGTGTGAACAGGAGACTGGTGTCAGGACTCCAAGGCCATGAGGATTTTCAAAAGGTCCCACCAGAAATAGGGCTGTGTTTCCTCATCCCAGCTACTAGGGAGGCAGAGGCTGAAGGGCTGTGAGTTCAAGTTCCATCCTGGAAACAGTGAGATTCGCTCTCTCCAATAAGCAAGAATTCCAACAAGACTGTGTTGGTGCTCTGGAGAGTACCAGCAGCCACAGCAGCCATGACACACTGCAGGAGCAGAGATATGACCTGGGCTGAGAGCATGTGTGAGACAAAGAACCTTCCAAAACCAGGGAACCCATGGTGCTATGGTTAAAATGTATCTTGTGTTGAGGCTTGGTCCACTTATGGGGTGGAGAGAGGTTGGGGTCTGAGAGATTATCAAGGTCTACAGCTCCTCTCACAGGCCTGGGTTACCTAAGAAGCAGCTTGTCATAAAGCATGTTCCACTGTCTTAGCTTGCTCACGTCTCTCCTGCATGCACCCACTACCCTGATGCTATCTAATTATGATGCAGCGTGAGGTATCACCCAGACGAGCTTTCTGACCTTCAACAGAATCGCCCTTTTTTTCTTTAAAAAAAAGGGGGGGGAGGAGTATTCTGTCATATTAGCAGAAAATGAACTAAAACATATGTGGAACCTATAGGTAGGATGTCTGCAGGGGCTCAGTAGGCTCATGTGAACTTTCTCAAGGCATCATCAGTCCTTGCTTGGTCCCAGCCCCTTAGTTTTGCCTCTTTGACCATGGCCTTGCATACCCAAGCCTCAAAGACTAAGGATGATTCTAGTCAGAAGAAAACTCCATGTTTTAATTATTTTAAGGTCATACTAAGCAATGTAAGTAGTAGTAATACAAAATAGCGTAGCTTTGTTGTGGGAAATTCAGAGGATGCTGGTAGGAAACATACACACACACACACACACACACAATTCGAGGCTAGTGAGTCAGGGTAAAGTCTCTTGCTGCCAAGACTGATGATCTGAATTCAAGCCTCAGAACACACAAGGTAGGAGAAAGAATCCCCTGCACCATGTTGTCCTCTTACCCCCACACATACACTGTGGCATATCTGTGATCCCACACACAATAAATAAGTCAATATAATAAAATATTATCCATAACCACACTACCCAGAGAGAGCCACTAATCCCATGGTAATAGATATCCCTCCAGGCTTTTATTTTTATTTTCAGCTTCTTTTATTTTTAACTTTCAATGCTAAGAATCAAATATAGGATATTGTGGATGAGCACTGGGCAACTGAGCTATATCCTAGGCCCCTTCCAGTCAACTATACACATTACCATATATAAGAACTAGATGAAAAAAACTATATTGAGGATGGAGAGATGGCTCAGCAGTTAAAAGCGCTGGCTGATCTTCCCGAGGACCCAAGTTTGATTCCCAGCATCTACAATTATCTATAACTCCAGTCCCAGGAAATATGATGCTCTCTTCTAGCTTCCACAAGCACAGACACACATGTATACAGACATACACAGGTGAAACACCCACACACATAAATGAAACAGCTGTATTATCTATCATATTTATTAAAAAACAAAAAAAAGACAGACACCAGGATTCATGTAGTCCAGGTTGACCTTGAATCTCCTATGTAGCTGAGGATGACCTTGAACTCCCATCCTTCTGCCTTCACCTTCCTAGTGTTGGGTGACAGCCCTGTGGCACCATATTCATCATTCCCTATGGTAGTCCGTATAGTTCACGGTAGTTGTTTACCAGGTAGTCCAGGTGGTAATCCACTCCCTATGGTAGTCCATGGTAGTAGTCTGCCATATTAGGGTGACGGGGTTAAGAATCCCTAATCCAAAACAAAAAATCTGAAATCCAAAGTCCAAACTTTCTGAGCACCAATATGACAACAAAGGGGCAATACCACACCTGGCCTCTGTGTAAAGTTACCTACAGGTAGCCAGAGGTGTAAGATTCCCTTGCAGCTGAGTCACAGGTTGTGAGCCACCTGATGTAGGTGCTGGAAACTGAACTCTGGTCCTCTGTGAAAGATCCCCGGAGGGTATCTTCCGTCTGAGAGACCCCCTCCCAAGGAACAACGAGGCCATTCGGATGCAAACAGCAAGAGGCTTTTATTTTGATACACGAGTACTCGGGGCGGAAAGTCACTCGGAGAACTTTGCGCGCCCCCTAGATAGGAAGCTGGGGTTTTTATAGGGTTTTAGAGCAGAAGCACTGGTACAGAAGCGAGAAGCATGGTTACAGGGGGCTGATTGGTACATTTACATGAGACCACGATTTGCGTCAAAGTTTGGCAGGGGCACCAAGATTCCAGGAACTGGGTGGTCAAGGGGGTTAGGATGACCCCTTGACGTGGCCCGCCACCTGTTATTTTGTTTTTCTCTATCTTAACTGAAACAGTCTCACAGATATCCCATGAGGGTAGTCACAACAAGTTGTTTTTAACTCAACAGGGGCGGGCAGCCTGACCACAGGTATCCCAAGTGGGTGACACAGCTAGGATTTCTCAGTAATTTTCCAGTTTTTCATCTGGCCTTCAGAGTTTTACAAAACAGTGGTGTCTCACAAAATGGCGTTAGCTATGTTTAACTTAGGGTGAAGCAGGGGTCTTTCACTCTGCAAGAGCAGTACATTCTCTTAACCTCTGAGTCAACCTTCCAGCCTCAAACATATTTAAAAAGACTAATAAATATCTACCAAAATGTTAGTAGTTAAAAAGTTATTATGTATGTGTATAAACCATCAAACACATATCCATACATCCCCTGTTCTGCAGACCTGATTTGGTGAGTTTCAGTTGCTCATTCTTGTTCTTCTCACTCTGCACATATTACGTGCACTTCCTTGCTACTCCTCTGCATGGGTTTGAAAGTCCAGGCCACTTCTATTTCTGACTGTATTATGAATTTTTCTCAAGATAAAGACATTTAGGTGGTCCCATATATGGCTTTGCAATAACCATCCCCAAAGTCAACCCTCTACACACATCGAAGCAGTTACATTTCCAGAGGAAATAGGGGTAGATAAAAGAGGAAATATTCTGAGGCTTTTATGGGTGGTGCAGGCAATTTGTCTTTAAAACATACCTGCTTTTTTTCCCCACACCATTGCCTGAGGCTGGGGAAGAGCAAAGATGAGTATTGAGGAAACTTTCCAACATTACAGGCTGAACAAGTCTCCTCAGGGCCACTGGTTGTTTCAGCCACCCTGAATGCCCCCCAAAATTATATTCTGGGTCCCATTGCTCCCAGGCACCATGCCAAGATGCTCCTGGATTGGAACAATAAGGATCTTTTGGAGAGAAAAAGGATAAGGTTAAAAACGTTGAGATTGGGCTGGCAGAAAGATGGCTCTGTTGGTAAAGTGCCTGCCATACAGGGATGAGGCCTTGAGTTTCAATCCTAAACACCCATATAGGTGTATCAAGTACTGAGACCCAGCTGTGCCCTGCTCTAATTTATTCCATGTTGTATAAAACAATGGTCCATGCTTTGCCCTGGGATACTCCATTTTACAAAGCAGCTTTTATCTCCATTTTAAGGAAGAAAGATGACTTTTTCCTTTCTGCTGCCACCATGTCATCCAGACTGAGGAAGATGTGAAAACTCCGGGGCCATGTAAGCCACAGTCATGGCCACATTGGTAAGCACCACAAATATCCAGGAGGCTGCGGAAATGCTGGAGGCATGCATACAGGATCAACTTTGACAAACATCATCCAGGTTACTTTGGGAAAGTTGGTATGAGGCATTACCACTTAAAAAGGAATCAGAGCTTCTGCCCAACTGTCCTTCTGGATAAATTATGGACACTGGTCAGTGAGCATATGAGAGTCAATGCTGCAAAAAACAAAACTGGAGCTGCTCCCATTATTAATGTTGTGTGATCTGGCTACCACAAAGCTCTGGGAAAGGGCAAGCTCCCCAAACAGCCTGTCACTGTGAAGGCCAAATTCTTTAGCAGAAGAGATAAAGAGAAGATTAAGGGTGTCGAAGATGCCTATGTCCTGGTGGCTTAAAGCCACCCTGGGAGGTTAATTAAATGCTACGATAAAAAAAAAAAGATGACTGCCCCTGGGTGGACCCAGAAATGATACCATCTGCTAGGTGCCACCTGCTCTAAAACCTGTGGTTTTATAGAGCTGAATTGAGACTGTAGAAGCACATGAGTATATTCAATCCTATCAGAAAACTGGGCTCAAGAACTTATCAGACACATCAGACCAAGGAAAGTGGATAACTCCATTGTATGAATAACATAAAATAAGAAGCACCTCACACTGCGATGGCACCCTATCCTCACCCTGTCATCGGACACCTGATGTGTGGGTTAAGGGCAAGAACTCCTCAGCTATGCCTGCAATTTTGTCTCAGCTCCCTTCACTGCCACTGATGCAGCCTAGCCAACTACCTGCCAGTCCATTTATTTGCCCATCTGGGCCTGGGCCTGACTCATCAATTCCTGTTCTATATCTGGTTTGGCCTTTTACCTCACAGCTGCATTTCAAAGCTTTGCTTTCTAACCTGGCTCCAGTAGCCCCTCCAGTTCATTGTCTTATTGATATATGCTCTTTCTCAGCCCATTTCTGAAATCTCTTGAGCTATGCTGCAGCCTCTTCACTTGCAATCATTCTTCAACCTATGTGTGAGGGACCACCCGAGAATGAGAAAAACAACTGTAAAAGAAAAACAGCTGTGACTATTCCCATCCTTGAATTGAAGCCAGAGGCAGATAGCTCTCTAAGGGCAGGATGAACTGCTCCAAGATAGTATTTAAAAAAATAAGGGCAGGGTGAACTGTTCTGACAAAACTCACAAATGGCCAAAAACTGCAAACAACCAGCTGTAAACTATCTTCATGCTATTCTTGCTGACCAATCAATGTATAGAGCAAAAGTGGCCAGATTTTTAAGTATAAAAACCCTGTGCTTTGCATGCTTGGGGTTGTCTCCTGCCTTTGAAGGGGCGACCCTATGGCGATTGGAATAAACC